GAGAAAATATTTGAAGAGATTATAGTTGAAAACTTCCCAAACATGGGAAAGGAAATAGCCACCAAAGTCCAGGAAGCACAGAGAGTCCCAGGTAGGATAAACCCAAGGAGAAACAGGTCAAGACACATAGTAATCAAATTGACAAAAATTAAAGATGCAAAATTATTAAAAGCAACAAGGGAAAAATGACAAATAATATATAAGGGAACTCCCATAAGGTTAACAGCTGATTTTTCAGCAGAAACTCTGCAAGCCAGAAGGGAGTGGCATGATATGTTTAGTGATGAAAGGGAAGAACCTACAACCAAGAATACTCTACCCAGCAAGGCTCTCATTCAGATTTGATGGAAAAATCAAAAGCTTTACAGACAAGCAAAAGCTAAGAGAATTCAGCACCACCAGACCAGCTTTGCAACAAATGCTAAAGGAATTCCTCTAGGCAGGGAAAAGACTAGCAACATAAAACAACCTTGTACATATATAGACTACTATATAAAAACCTCATGGGAACAGCAAATGCAGAAACTACAATAGATACACACAAAAGAAGAAAAAACAAACCAAACAACACTAAATATGATCATCAGAAGAAAACAAAAGAGAAAGAAAAGAAAAAAGACCTACAAAAACAAACCCAAAACAATTAAGAAAATGGCAATAGGAACACACATATCAATAATTACCTTAAATGTAAATGGATTAAATGTGCCAAAAGACACAGACTGGCTGAATGGATACAAAAACAAGAACCATATATATGCTGTCTACAAGAGACCCACTTCAGACCTAGGGAAACATACAGACTGAAAGTGAGGGGATGGAAGAAGGTATTCCATGCAAATGGAAATCACAAGAAAGCTGGAGTAGCACTACTCATATCCAAAAAAATAGACTTAAAAATAAAGACTGTTATAAGAGACAAAGAAGGACACTACATAACAATCAAGGGATCAATCCAAGAAGAAGATATAGCAATTGTAAACATATATACACCCAACATAGGAGCACTTTAATATATAAGGCAAATACTAACAGCCATAAAGGGAGTAATCGACAGTAACACAATAATAGTGGGGGCTTTAACACCCCACTTTCATCAACGGACAGATCATCCAGACAGAAAATCAATAAAGAAACACAGCCTTAAATGATACGTTAGAACAGATGGACTTAATTGATATTTATAGAGCACTCTACCCAAAAGCAGAAGAATACACATGCTTCTCAAGTGTACACGGAACATTCTACAAGATTGACCACATCCTCGGCCACAAAGCAAGCCTCTGTAAATTTAAGAAAATTGAAATCATATCAAGAATCTTTTCTGACCACAATGCTACGAAATTAGAAATAAGCTACAAGAACAAAAGACTATAAAAAACACAAACACGTGAAGGCTAAACAATATGCTACTAAACAACTAATGGATCACTGAAGAAATCAAAGAGGAAATCAAAAAATACCTAGAGACAAATGGAAACGAAAGCACAATGACCCAAAACCTATGGGAAACCTATGGGAAAACCTATGGGAAAAAGCATTTCTAAGAGGAAAGTTTATAGCAATACAGTCTTACCTCAGGAAACAAGAAAAATCTCAAATAAGCAACCCACCTTATACCTAAAGCAACTAGAGAAAGAACAGCAAACAAAACTGAAAGTTAGTAGAAGGAAAGAAGTCATAAAAATCAGAGCAGGAATCATAAAGATCAGATCAGAAATAAATAAATAAAGAAGACAATAGCAAAGATCAATGAAACTAAAAGCTGGTTGTTTGAAAAGATAAACAAAATTGATAAACCTTTAGCCAGACTCAAGAAAAAAGGGAGAGGACTCAAATTAAAAAAAATTAGAAATAAAAACAGAGAAGTTATAACTGACACCACAGAAATACAAAGGATCATAAGAGACTACTATATGCAACAGTATGCCAATATTAGGACAACCTTGGAAGAAATGGACAAATTCTTAGAAAGGTACAGTCTCCCAAGACTGATCCAGGAAGAATTAGAAAATATGAAGAGACCAATCACAAGCACTGAAATTTAAACTGTAATTAAAAAACTCCCAACAAACAAAAGTCCAAGACCTGATGGCTTCATGGGCAAAGTCTATCAAACATTTACAGAAGAGCTAACATCTATCCTTCTGAAACTCTTCCAAAAAATGGCAGAGGAAGGAAAACTCCTGAATTCATTCTATGAGATCATCATCACCCTGATACCAAAACAAGACAAAGATACCATTAAAAGAGAAAATTACAGGCCAATATCACTGATGAACATAGACACAAAAACCCTCAAAAAAAGAGTAGCATTTCGAATCCAACAATACATTAAAAGGATCATACACAATGATCAAGTGGGATTTATCCCAGGAATGCAAGGATTTTTCAATATCCGCAAATCAATCTGCGTCATACACTACACCAACAAAGTAAAGAATAAAAACCATATGATCACCTCAATAGATGCAGAAAAAACTTTTGACAGAATTCAACACCTATTTTTGATAAAAACTTTCCAGAAAGTGGGCATAGAGGGAACCTACCTCAAAATAACAAAGGCCATATATGACAAACCCACATCAAGCATCATACTCAATGGTGAAAAGTTGAAATCATCTCCTCTAAGATCAGGAACAAGGCAAGGATGCCCACCCTCACCACTTTTATTCAACATAGTTTTGGAAGTCCTAGCTACAGCAATCAGAGAAGAAAAAGAAATAAAAGGAATCCAAATTGGAAAATAAGAAGTGAAAATGTCACTGTTTGCAGATACATAGAAAATCCTAAAGACATTACCAGAAAACTACTACAGCTCACCAATGAATTTGGTAAATTTGCAGGCTACAAAATTAACACACAGAAATCCGTTGCATTTCTATACACTAATAATGAAAGATCAGAAAGAGAAATTCAAGAAACAATCTCATTTACCACTGCATCAAAAATAATAAAATACCTAGGAATAAACCTGCCTAAGGAGACAAAAGACTGGCACTCCGAAAACTATAAGATGCTGATGAAAGAAATCACAGATGACACGAACAGATGGAAAGATATACCATGTTCTTAGATTAGAAGAATCAATATTGTCAAAATGACTATACTTCCCAAGGCAATCTACAGATTCAATGCAATTCTTATCAAATTACCAATGTCATTTTTCACAGAACTAGAACAAAAAATGTTAAAATTTGTATGGAGACACAAAAGACCCCAAAAAGCCAAAGCAATCTTGAGAAAGAAAAATGGAGCTGGAGGAATCAGGCTCCCTGACTTCAGACTATACTAAAAAGCTATAGTAATCAAAACAGTATGGTACTGGCACAAAAATAGAACTATAGATCAATGGAACAGGATAGAAAGCCCAGAAATAAACCCATGCATCTATGGTCAATGAATCTATGACAAAGGAAGCAAGACTATACAATAGTGGAAAGATAGTCTCTTCAATAAATGGTGTTGGGAAAGCTGGACAGCTCCATGTAAAAAAAATGAAATAGATCATTCTTTAACACTATACAGAAAAATAAGCTCAAAATGTTTTAAAGACCTAAATGTGAGACTGGACACTATAAAAGTCCTAGAGGAAAACATAGGCAGGACACTCTCTGACATAAATCGCAGCAATATATTTTCCAATCTGTCTCCCTGAGAAATGGAAATAAGAACAAAAATAAACAAATGGCACCTAATTAAACTCAAAATCTTTTGCACAGCAAAGGAAACCATAACCAAAACAAAAAGACAACCCACAGAGTGGGAGAAAATACTTGCAAATGATGTGACTGACAAGGGATTAGCCTCCAAAATCTAAACAGCTCATGTGGCTTAATATCATCAAAACAAACAACCCAATCAAAAAATGGGCAGAAGACCTAAACAGACATTTGTCCAAGGAAGACATACGAATGGCCAAGAGGCACATGAAAAAATGTTCAGCATCACTAATGATTAGAGAAATGCAAATCAAAACTACAGTGAGATATCACCTCACACCAGTCAAAATGGCTATCATCAAAAATCCACGAACAGTAAATGCTGGAGAGGGCGTGGAGAGAAGGGAACCCTCCTACACTGCTGGTGGGAATGTAAAATGGTACAGCCACTATAGAGAACATTATGGAGGTTCCTTAAAAAACTAAAAACAGAGCTAACATATGACCCTGCAATCCCACTCCTGAGCATATATCTGGAGAAAAACATGATCGGAAAGGATACATGCACCCCAATGTTCATTGCAGTACTGTTTACAATAGCCAAGACATGGAAGCAACCTACACGTCCATCGACAGAGGAATGGATAAAGAAGATGTGATACATATATACAATGGAATATTACTCAGTCATAAAAAAGAATGAAATAATGTCATTTGCAGCAACATGGATGGACATAGAGATTGTCATACTGAGTGAAGTAAGTCAGAAAGAGAAAGAAATATCTTGTGATATTGCTTATTTGTGGAAACTAAAAAGAAATGATACAAATGAACATATTTATAAAAGAGAAACAGACTCACAGACTTAGAGAATGAACTTATGGTTACAGGGGAGAAGGGTGGAGGGAAGTTATAGTTAAGGGTTTTGGGACTCACATGTACACACTGCTATATTTAAAGCACAGAGAACTCTGCTCAATGTTATGTGGCAGCCTGGATGGGAGGGGAGTCTGGGGGAGAATGGATACATGTACTTGTAGGGCTAAGTTGCTTTGCTGTGCACCTGAAACTATCACAACATTGTTAATCGGTTATACTCCAATATAAAATAAAAAGTTAAAAAAAAAAAGTAAAATTTGAGATCATTCTTCCTTAGCTTAATGCATGCTTAAATGTTTCTCTGTCTTATTAGTCAAAATGTTAATTCTTTCTACTTCCTAGATGTATACACCATCACAAAAAAAAAAATTAAACATTTACTGATGATATAGGAAAACACACCTCATCACTAGTGGTTTTGTCTTTTAGGTGAAGGGTTATTTTTATTTTCATTTTTACCTTATAACAGTCTCCTCCAGGCATGATTTCCTGAATATATACCAAGGGACCTTCATTCCGGTTAATTCCTCCTAGGATCTTCAGACCAAGGCCTGTCTCCTTGGTAACTGTAATCATCTGAAAGGCAGGATCCCTAAGATAAAGTAAAGTAGCATGCACAGGTTAGCCTAGATATGGGTACCTACTTTTTCTTTAAACTGTTTGGTAAATCAAATTCTTAGAACTAGACAACTCAGAATACTCAGTACACACTAGCAACAACATTTTAAAAAGTATGATCATACAAAAGCAATCAAATGAATTTTCTTAGCTCTAATTTTAGTTTTTCTATAAAACAGCCAAACAGTACAAGAAATTACTGCAATAATGCTTATTTCTTTGGAGTAGAAGAAAAATACTTTAAAAATATTATTTAAACAACTTTAAAGATTTATTAAAGGTGACTGAAGAGACTTAGTTTTAACTGATTATTTTGACTACACCGAAGGATTCCAAAACAAAATACTTTAATGAATTAGGTAAGTGACTTTAAAAGACATGTTTTAGGCTATTTAAAGCAAAATAAATATGACCTTTACTTGAATCTCAAAAAAATGCAGTTTATCTTTTTAATTTAGAAAGAGTATTTTCCTGGTACAAATCTCTTGCTCCAGCTGCAATTTCTGCCAGACATAAAAGTGATGCCATTAGAAAAGAAGGAACTGTTAAAAGAATTCTGCAAAAGGTACTCTCCCCCTTCACCTCAGTTGTGTTTCTAAACAGTGATCAGAGCAGACACTTTTACTGGTCCAAGAGAACTTGAATAAAGCATGAAATGAAGCTCAGGGCTGTCTGCTTACTTATGGTGTAGTGGGTGTTGTGCTAAGCAATATACATACATTAGGCCGTTCAACTAATATTTATAAAATCCCTATGATGATTACCCTCATTTTTCTAAAAGAACCCAAATCTGGGCAGGTTAACTTGGTGTCCCAAGGTTACGAAGCTGGAGAACAACAATGTGAGGGCAGTCTGTCTAACTCCAGAGGCAAAGTATGGTCTATGGTCTACTTCACTGGTGCATTAAAGCCATTGTTGAATATAGGACTTCCAGCTGTCTTCAAACGTGCCAAAACACAGAAACCGCTGTTTAAAAAGAGTTACTTCAAATCTTACATATGATTATAGCTTTAAAAAAATTTTCTTAACTTCTGCCATAGAAGTTCTGACTATATCTTTAAGAAGACTTGTATTCAAAAGTTAAATCATAAAAAAGTAGAATGAAAGAAATTAAAATTTTAAAAAAACTTACAAAACTCCCTGTTTTTGAATATTTTGCCCTTTATATAGCACATCCTTTAGGGTTGCATTATATTGAATTCAGCTCTAGGGTTGGAGGGCCTAGCTGGGGTTACTAGGGTAATAGTCAATTAGCTAGGAACAAAAGGCAGAAAATGTTCTACTGTCAGATTTCAGAACCTCAGTCCATTCTTTTTTTTTTTTTTTTTTTTTTTTTTTGCGATATGTGGGCCTCTCACTGTCGTGGCCTTTCCCGTTGCCGGACGCGCAAGCTCAGCGGCCATGGCTCACGGGCCCAGCCGCTCCGCGGCATGTGGGATCCTCCCGGACCGGGGCACGAACCCATGTCCCCTGCATAGGCAGGCGGACTCTCAACCACTGCGCCACCAGGGAGGCCCCCTCAGTCCATTCTTGACAGGAGATTTAGACTGCAAGGACATAAAGGGGTGAAGCCTAGAAAAAGGCAAGATGAAAAAAGGGGACAAAGGTCCTCATTAAGCACCTCCAATAACCTCTTAAACCTTCTAAATGTCAATTTCCTTCAATGGGGACACACACGATCTCCAGCATATGTTATTTCAGTAAAGGATCCCTCCTTTTCTAATCCCAACACACAGTATCTATTATTAACACGGCAGTGTATTTACTTGCTAGGACCTTACTTTAAAATTCCCTCATTGTTAAGAATTTATATTACTTCCTTTTTTTTGTTTTGTTTTGTTTATTAAAAATAGTTCTGCTGGGCTTCCCTGGTGGCACAGTGGTTGAGAGTCCGCCAGCCGATGCAGGGGACACGGGTTCGTGCCCCGGTCCGGGAAGATCCCACATGCCGCGGAGTGGCTGGGCCCGTGAGCCATGGTCGCTAAGCCTGCGCGTCCGGAGCCCATGCTCCGCAACGGGAGAGGCTACAACAGTGAGAGGCCTGAGTACTGCAAAAAAAAAAAAAAGTTCTTCTGCTCAACTTTAATCATAGTAAGAGAATTACAAGCTAAAACCAGGCAGAGGGCATCTCTGGTGGCGCAGTGGTTGAGAGTCTGCCTGCCGATGAAAGGGACACGGGTTCGTGCCCCGATCTGGGAAGATCCCACATGCCGTGGAGCGGCTAGGCCTGTGAGCCATGGCCGTTGAGCTTTCGCGTCCGGAGCCTGTGCTCCACAACGGGAGAGGCCACAACAGTGAGAGGCCCGCGTACCGCAAAAAAACAAAACAAAACAGGCTGATACACTGCTTTTCACCTATCAGATCAACGTAAATTTAGAACTTTCACAATATAAGACAAGGCTCTAGTAAAGAGGTACTCTTTTACATTGTTGGTGGTAATGCAAAATGGCATAACCCCTAAAGAGGGGATTTGGTAGTCTCTAACTTTACCTTCTGATCCAACAATCCCCTTTCTAGGAACCTTTCCCAAAGATACTCTGGCAAGAAATACAAATGACTTGTATACTAGGTTCGTCATTTGGCATAATTTGTGATCACCAAAAATAGCAAACAATTCAAATGTCCATCAAAAGGTACTGGATGAATAAACTATGGTATATTAAGAACAGAATACTATACAGTTACAACAAGGTACAAGGAAGATCTTTATAAATTGATATGAAGTGATCACCAGGATATAATTTTAAGTTAAAAAAAAGTCTGGTCAAAATACTATATATAATATGCTACCTTTTTGTTAAGAATGCACTGGCAAGTGGAGCCTGGGAGCTGGATCCTGGGTGTTTTGGGACATTTTGCCTTGGTCATATGCTACTTCCTCATGAACTTGATTTTGCCCTAAGTAGCTGGATAAAACTCTGTGCTGTCACACAGAGTAAAACTGTTCAACATCAATGCATGGAACTCTGTAGACAGAGCTCTTCACCTACCATACAGCTGGGCCTGGCTTATATCTCTATGAGACTGGAGCTTTCCACTGCTCCCAGGAGGGGGCATCAGAGAAAGATACCTTGAGTTTAACTAACCTGACACCCTTCTGCAGGGAAGATCTTCAAACCTGAGTCAAAGTGCTGATGTACACTTGTTTACTATGTAAGCAAGAGTAGAAGAATGTCTATACAGTGGAACTATATACAGAATAAATAATAGCTTTGAGAAAAAATATAATTATATACACACATATATATATAACATGCATATATATTTATATGGATATGTATTTGCTTATGTAAAAAGAAACACTGAAAAAGAACTAAGAATAAAGATGGCTATTTATAGGAGGAATGAAGGCACAGAGTGAAAGACAAGACTGAAAGCAGGACTTCTCCAAATATACCTTGTTATATGTGTGTTACATGTTTGCAAAACGGCCACCAATTCTTCCCATCTCTGTCTGCATGCCCCCAGGAATGTGACTTTACCGTTCCTTCCATTAAAAAGTAAAGTCTGTAACTCTAGACCTTGAATTTGGACTTAGTTATTATCTAAATTGCTTTAGCCAATGGTGCATAAGCAAATGTGAGGAAAACAGACATTTGAAAAACACTTGTGTTTGTTGCTGGGAACCATTCTACCACCATGTGAAAAAGCCTGGGCTAGCTGCCTGGAAGGTGAGAGGCCAAGTTGAAAGAGACTTCAGCTATCCAGCCTTCCTAGATGAGGCCCCAGAACATGTCAATGAGGCCACTCTACGTGATCTGGTGCAGCCGAGAAGAACTGCTCACAGAATCATGAGGAAGAATAAATGCTTGTTTGTTTTAAGGTACTTTGAGCTGGTTTGTTAGTCAGCAAATGTTAATCTTAACATTATGTTATTTTTATACTGGAATTATAAAATATTTTAGGTATTCAAAAAATCAGATCAAATTTTTAAAAAGCAGTCTATATAAATAATTTTAAAAGAGAATGCATAATTTGTCCTTTACCCTGATTTACAGAGAAAGCTCTGATCAACCTTTTCATTACCACTAACTTAGACCACAGGTAGGTAGCTGTATAAAACTTTCCACCAAATGTTCATTAATATTCTACATATTTTAAACTATGATAGTTCAGAACATATTAAATTTAATTTAGCAATTACTTTTCAAGTAGACCGGATGATACTACGGCAGATGTATTTTTATTCATGGTTTCACCACTACTGTAGCCTTGGATTGAACAGCTGTATAAATGAAGATCTTGACGAAGAGTCTATAAATTCTTCTTTTCCTAAGATTGGAGAAGTAGAAAATAAACTGTCATGTCTTAGAACAGTCAAATTTGATTTTAACTGTGCATAAAAACATTACATATACTTGGCATGTAAACAATATGTGCCTGTGTATAGATGATAGATGTACTTTATATATGTTGGGCTATGGCATTTTAGTCATTGCTGATAATATCTGAGAAATGTAAAGGCAGTTCTGTAGATAGAAAGCTAGATAGAGCTATAGGACTATATCTATATCATTATTAATATCTATAGCTATATAAAAATCTGTATATTCTAGCAGAAGTGAAGAATACAGTTAAGCTTTAGGTAACTATTATAGCTTCCACTGTTACTAAGCTTAAAAAACACATAATAATAAAAGACTGAGGAAAATGTCTCTTGTGAGCACAAGGCTAGGAATTTTACAGTCAGAATGTCTGCAAAATAATTATACAATACACTTTGAAGAAAACACAAATTCCTACTGTCTCACCAACTATCTTGAGGGACTTCCTGCAGATCCTATATTACTCTGACTCATATTACTCCATGAGCTTCTTAAATACTTTCCTATAAAAAGAAAAAAATATTTTAATGTCTCATATAGTTCCACTGTGAAAATTATAGAGAATAGTGCAGTTTCATTTAATTTAAAAACTGTATTTGAACAGATTTACCACTTCTGTATAAGAAACATAAAGTATAGAAACCTGAAGTTGAAAAAGACCTTAGGATCATTTAGCACAGCTCTCTTATTAAAGAAATGAGTAGCTAGATTCAGAGAGATTGTGTACTTTCCCTATACAAATGAGAAATAGTCAATGGTTTTTTTCCCAACTAGAACTCAGGCTTCAGAGCCCACAGCATGGAACCTGACATCAGACAGACCTGCATTCCAATTTGAGCTTCTAGGCTTCTCCAAGCATCAGTTTCTTCAAAGGTACAGTAGGTAGTAGTGATGGTTTTACAAATGGATACACATGTCAAAACTCACCAAACTGTCTCACTATAAATATGTGCTGTTTGTTATAAATCAATTATACCCTAGTAAAGTTAATTTTTTAAAAAAATCCAATTTTCAGTTAAAAATGGGAGCTTGACCTTGGCATGTATCTTCTTTTCCTCCAAGAGCCCACTAATATAAGAGTAAAGGGTTACAAACAGTATAAACTCATAATGTTAGAGAAAAAATGAAAGAAGAGCCATGAGATGAAAAGTTTCAATAAATTTCTGGAAGACAAAAAATAGATGGTAGGATGGTAACTGATAAAGGAGGCCTGAAGAAGCTGAAAGCTACGGAAAGGCTTTGTAAACACTTTTAAGTTTGAGCACACATATAGAAAATGGTAATACTTGTATGGTGTACTGGGGTAAACAGAGGTGATATGCTATACCTCTAAGAAGCTGAGGGGCAATCACTAACTCAGCACACCATAACTGATTCATGGCAAAATTCTGGCCGAAAAAACAGCTAGAGATGTTGAGGAATATATCTTGTAGAATCCCAGAGAGGTTGGGGACTCAGGAACCCAAAGTACTAGGGACAGTGAAACTGAGGTGGAGAACTAAAATCAAGGGGATTATCCCATCCCTTCTCCAACTACTTATGTGAGAGAAATCCTAGATTCTTCTGTCAATAAATTAAATGGACTCTGAAGAAAGAGCCAACAACCTTCTGGGATCCTAACACAGAATTGTATCACTGATCTGGGTGTTAAAAACCTGCTTCAATTTTCACAGCCCCTGTGATAGCAAGCAACAGAAACAGTGGGAGCACACAGATCAACAGTAGCAGGGAAATGAAGCCACCAAGCGCTGTCAGCAGCAAGAGTCCGATGGCCAGGAAGCAAGAAGGTTACTCAGCACCCCATGGGGGAAGGAGGGGAAACGAGGGAAGAGCGCACAATCCTAGGGCTTGACAGAGTAATGACTCAGAGTCAAGAGCTGCTGCAGAGGTCCACAAGACTAATGCAGCGGTAGAAGAGAGTTCAATTCTAAAAGTAAGTGTTTATAAGTTCATTATAGGCTGCTTTAATAATATAGCAGAATGGAGCGGATCCCCAAACCTTCAGTGAGGAAGTTTTGATATAACAATAATAATAGCAACTACCATCTATTGGCACCATGTGTCACACACTGTGCTAAGTATTTCAAATGTATTTATCTTATTTAATATCATGAAAAATCCATTAGCTTTAAGTAAAAAAAAGCTGAGTTCAAATGGCAATACTGCTATATGCTAGCCATACAGCCTTAGAAGAGTTACCTAACCTCCTGGCGTCTCTTCATATTAAGGTAGGAATAATAACACCTAGCTAAAAGGGTTGCCATGAGGATTAAGGGAGATGTAAAAAACTCGGCTGTCTTCACAGTGTTACCAAAGTGAGTAAGATCCCCATGCAGTAGTGATTTGTCTTAGCTGGGCACTGGGTCCCCAGGTCATGGAACATATCCAAGTATAATGGATATGTCATTGTTAAATTCTATAATAGATTCCATATAGTGTCATTTAATTTTTTTCTACTTCAAACTATTAAAATGAAATTTCAGTTTTTAAATTATTTCATTCACCTAACATACCTGTCATTGTCCTAAGTGCTGGAGGTGAGATAAAAAGAAAAGAGTCTCTCCCCAGAGACAGTCAAATAAACAGACATCAGGAGTGTGCTAAGTGCTCTGACAGTGGTATTCGCAGGGTGCTGGGGGCATGGAGGAAGGCCACCTAACCCAGAATGGAGGAGTCGTCATGCAACAGCAACACAGCCAAGCATCATACTAGAGGATTTTATCCTCAGAGGAGCCCCAAAAGGCAGGTAATATTAACCCATTTTACATAAGAGAAAATCAGTTAATGGAGAAGCTATGTGACCTGCCCATGGCCACAGTGCTAAACAGTTATAAAGTGGAATTTGAATCCAGTTCTGCCTGGCTTCAAACACAAGCTTTTCCTGCTACAGGACGCTGGAAAATTAATTTATGTGGAAAAATGTCATCTTCCAACAAAGTAGGATAAGAGAGTGTTAATTAATGTAGTAATATGCTGTCTCTCTTCTATGAAGATGATACTATTTTTATTTTTATTTTTATTTTTGGCTGTGTCGCGCAGCATGCAGGATCTTAGTGCCCTAACCAGGGATTGAATCCGTGCCCCCTGCAGTGGAAGCATGGAGACTTAACCACTGGACCGCCAGGGAAGTCCCTATGAAGATGATACTACTGATTAAACTTCTTTACAATAATGAAATGGGTTTAATCTTATCCATCCAAACATCAGGCTTTTTTTTTTCCTCTCCACATGAACAAGGTATCCATTGTCATATCCTTAAAAATCATAAAATGCCTTTTCCTTCCCTCTCCTTTGCTTGTTTCCTACTCCTTCCTTTAAACAAGCGAGCAAGGCCCTCAATTGATAGGAGTTCTAGTAATGTTACACATCCACCCCAATCTCCCAACTTCACAGTATTAATGAATGACACAAAGAAAATATTCTATTCTTTTACTAAAAATACGACTATTCAAGGAAAATATTTTGTTTTTCTAGGTTGCTGCAAAAACAGAGACAGTGGAACACTGGGGGAAAATATCTCGTTTTATAAGCTGACTCTATTCTGGAAAACTTAAATTAGAGCTTTACTTTGATACACAACTCTCTTATGACTGCATTAGAAGTTTTCATTCCATACAATTAAAAATCTCATCAGGGGCTTCCCTGGTGGCGCAGTGGTTGAGAGTCCGCCTGCCAATACAGGGGACACGGGTTCGTGCACCGGTTTGGGAAGATCCCACATGCCGCGGAGCGGCTGGGCCCACGAGCCATGGCCGCTGAGCCTGCGTGTCCGGAGCCTGTGCTCCGCAACGGTAGAGGTCACAACAGTGAGAGGCCCGCATACCACCCCCCCCCCCAAAGAAAAAAAAAACACTCATCAGATAAAAATCTGCCTATCATGCACATGATGTCTGAATAACAGACTTAATAATTTATGTTCTCAGAGACACGACATTCAGTATTTTCTAAAACTAGTTCTTTTTACCAGACCAAAAATAGAGAATATAAAACGGAAAGGGATAAAAACATCTGACAGGGCTTCCCTGGTGGCGCAGCGGTTGGGAGTCTGCCTGCCAATGCAGGGGACATGGGTTCGAGCCCTGGTCTGAGAAGATCACACATGCCGCGGAGCAACTAGGCCCGTGAGCCACAACTACTGATCCTGTGCGTCTGGAGCCTGGGCTCTACAACGGGAGAGGCCGTGACAGCGAAAGGCCCACGCACCGTGATGAAAAGTGGCCCCCGCTCGCCGCAACTGGAGAAAGCCCTCACACAGAAACGAAGACCCAACACAGACAAACATAAATAAATAAATTAATTAAAAAAAAAAATCTGACAGAAATGATGGTGTTAACTTGATTAAACTATAATAATGCCATATGAAACATTATATTTTTAAAATTTAAATAAAAGTTAATACATTCCAATGTGGTTATATATTATGGATGCATATCTCTGTCCTATCCAGTTCCACACCATTTCCACACTTAGGTACCCACTGTTTTAGTTTCTTGTGAATCCTTTTAGTTCTTTTACATACAAATAAACAAATATAAATAAATATTCTGATTCCTTGACATTTTTTGATGCAGAAAGTAGCTACAATCAGGCACAAAGCACCCAGCTGTTCAGGTTGTACACTGTACAATCCAGAGGGTATGGGTCATACAGACTCTGATGTGAACAGGTACTCTGGAGTGTGTGGTAGCCCTGCATACTATATGCACTACTGTGCAACCTATTTCTTTTTTTCTTTAACTTAATATATAACTTGGAATTCTTTTCATAGTTTTACATAGCATACTAATTTATTTTCACAGCTGTATAGTATTCCATTTTATGGATGGACCATATTTATTTATTCCCTTATTGATAGATATTTAAATT